TAAGTAAAAATTACTTGGTATTAGTAAGGGGCATGTCTAGTAAACGGTGAGCAGCCTGTGGCTGCTCACTGTTTAAAAAAAAAAATAGGGTCCCCCCTCCCGAGCCCCCACCCGCGTCGCACTAGTGGGGGCTTTTAAACTAAAGGGGGGGACCTATTGCCACCCGCCCTAAAGTAAAATGATGGGGGGGGACCTATTGACCCCCCTGAGCGGTGGGTGGGGGCCCTAAATACTAATAAGGGGGGGACCTAATGTCCCCCCCCTGGCCTCCACCCCTGAGCGGCGGGTGGGGGCCCTAAATTGGAATAAGGGGGGGGGACCTAATGTCCTCCCCCCTGGCCCCCACCCCTGAGCGGTGGGTGGGGGCCCTAAAGTAAAATGATGGGGGGAACCTATTGTCCTCCTCCCCGGCCCCCACCCCTGAGCGGTGGGTGGGGGCCCTAAATACTAATAAGGGGGAGGACCTAATGTCCTCCCCCTGGCTCCCACCCCTGAACAGCGGGTGGGTGCTCTAAATTGGAATAAGGCGGGGGACCTAATGTCATCCCTCCTGGCCCCCACCCCTGAGCGTTGCGGGTGGGGGCTCGGATGGGGGGACCTTTTTTTTTATTTTATTTTTTTTAACAGTGAGCAGCCACAGGCTGCTCACTGTTTAATAGACATGCTCCTACTCGCGGTATAGTGAGTAGGGGAATAATTTACTAATACTAAGTAATCTTTACTTAGTATTAGTAAATTTGGCTGGAAGACCAATTTAGGTCTTTCAGTCTTTTAGTAGATAGCTCCCTAATACCGTGGGAATTAGGGAGTCATCTACTTATTTATTCCTGTCATTACATTGACAGGCTAAGTAACTTACATTTTATATGAATGTATGTTACTTGATTGTTGTAAGTGTTGCAAATGCTATAAATATACCTTTTTTTTAAATTGTATGCAGTGTAACATTCTTCTTCTTTCACTGGGTAAGTATATTAGTACTTAGGCAATACTGTTCTTCGGAACTTTGGCACTTTGACACTTCGGAAATTCGGTAATTTCGGAACTCCGGGACCTCGGCAATTCGGACATTCGGAAGTAACCGAATGTCCGAATTGCCCAAAATTCGTCCGAATTCATATTCGGACCGGAACGAATTGCACATGTCTAGAGTAGAGCACCCTGCAGCTGATGTTGCAGCTCCTGTCCTTGACCTGTACCTGGCCAGCCTGGTCCCCACTGGACCCCAGGGAAGCCACCCACACATCTAGATATACATGGAGCTGCAGAATAACCCTCCCCTCATTCAAATAATATGAACAGCTCACACTCAAAAATACACACAATCCGCACTAACGTAAAACCACTAACAATCCACATACATGCGCACAACCCCACATGCAGTCTCTCACATGCAATACCCCAAACTGCTCCACACATACACACACCACCAAACACACAATCTGACATATCCATCCACACACACACAATTCCGCAAGACGCCCCCATACACAGCCCACATTCACAGGTATCATACACGATGCCACAAACTGCTCATGAACATATACAATATAATAGCTCATATAGGCACAAATACAACGATACAAAGCAACTGCAGTATAAATAACACAGGTAGAATATGTCAACATGCACACCTCAATTTAAAAAAATAGGACCTGCACGCTAAGGGACATCACAATTCTATTTTGGCACAGTGCTGCTAAAAGGTTGCCTACCCCTACCAGGATATTATATAGCTATAAATACTATGGTCCTTTGAAACCCAATCCATGTGTTTTTGACTTTTAGAGGTTCATGCGAATTATAGTTTGCTGAAATTGGAGTCTAATATTTCAATATCCTTTCATTACAGAGAGCAGAAGTAAGTTTATAATATTACAAGGGTATCATGGTTGTGTCAGTTGATGACCTGTACAAATTGGCCTAATATCCAGGGGACAAAGTGGTAGTTTGGGGCCTTTGGGCTATATAGTTAATTAATGACCCTTGTGCCAGACTGATACTAACCTTCCTGAATTAATTTTATGTCAGATTTCTCTGTTCCTCCTGGAGTATTCAAGGTATGTCCTATGCATTAGGACAATGTTCAAAATGAAAAAAAGTTAGCACTTTACTGATTTCATTGTGTGTTGTGCCGATTAATTACAATTATCGATTTCATTGTTCAGCAGCTGCACTGAAAGTGCTTGTTATAATTACGTGCTGAGCAAACCTTTGGGAAGGAATGAGTATAAGGAACAATATCTCTTTGTTTACAGGTAAGAAAAAAGCATCACCTTATTGATTTTCAACACAATAGATGGGCTTATACAAGTGTTGTTTTATTTTCTATTACTTTTTCAGTTCTTATATTTGAGTTTGCTAATTAACTTTGTGAATGTTGTAGGAGACAGGGTCATATTGTTGTCCACTTTGCAAGATGGTTCAAACATTTTTAATGTAAATGGTCAGCAAGGAAAGACCCATTTTACTACAAGCACAACTAGTGGGTAACAAAGCTATCATATTCTCTCTACTGATACCAAGGCTGTATCAATCTAACATTTTTTGAAATTTGATATGTATGACAGATATTAAATGTCCAAATGGAATTTTCACTCAGTCATTTAAAAAAAATGTGCCCTTGCTGGTTTCCCAATACTGTCCTTGTATAGTGTTCTACAGTCTTCCAGCATTAATGTCCAGTATGAATCAGGGCTTGATGATGGTGCCCTGTGTTGGGTGGCCTATGTGGTGGTTTGCAGTCCATTGTGAAATACGGAAGCCCTTGCCTCTGTACAACCTTTTCCATATATCTGACCTTATCCAATCTGGAAAGTTAGCCAAATTATAACATGTTTACATTGGGTGTAAAAACTTGTATGGGGTAAGGTGCAAGAGTAATACTGAAGGACAAGTATAAAAACTTGAGATGGCACATAGCTGGGGTAAGGATGAGATGTTTTGGCACTAAACTTTTACCGTGGAATATTTTGCGCTAAAGTCATGTTCCTTCTTCCAGGGAGGATTTGGTCAAAGTTAAGGAGGTCTATCAGTATGCAGACATGCAGCATGGAGACGAGGATGCTTTTGCACGTGAACCTTTTATCGTCAGATTTGGATCAAAGATGACTGGTATGAAATAATATCAAAAGAAGAAGAACACAGGCAGCACTCCAGGATAATGGAGGTAAGTTTTATTTGTGGGTTCACCACCTCACCAAAAAATAAATGTGATGTTTCAGCTCAGCAGAGCCTTAATTGTACATCATGCCGAACAGTCGCATTATTTTTTTGGTGAGGTGGTGAACCCACAAATAAAACTTACCTTCATTATCCTGCAGTGCTGCCTGTGTTCTTCTTCTTTTGATACTGCATTGGTGGATTCAGCGGTGTCCATCCTTTACACGGGGTGCCTCCTTGGTGGAAGGCCGGAGCATTCATGCGGAACTTGAGTGCAGGGTATACTGTTTGTGCCTGGTATGAAATGTCTCCATTTAGAACTGGGGTACTCACTAAGCAACGAAGGTAGCTTCCTAGGGACACATTAGCATCAGGTTTACTAGTCCATGCTTATTTTTTTATAAAGTGGAAGAATGCAAAAAGCATCCTCTATAACATTTATCTGATGTTAAATACCTGACCTGAAAACGTGAAAGGTGGTGCTTGAGTACTACATTATTTGTGTATCTTTCAGTCAGATTTTGCAGTAGACTTTGGAGAATGATTATCTTGTATTTGAAAAACATGTGACAGACTTTTTCACTAGTTATGAGCAAAGCATTGGTAGCGAGATGGTTAGTGATGAACCAGTGCTGTATTAAATTAATACAATTAACATCCTTGTTCCCGTCCTGCAGTGAACCCAATCAGAAGCAGCATGGTTAGATTGACAAAGTGAAGGAATGCAATTAAGCAGCAATTAATATTAATTTATTATTATTCCGATTAGTGGTACAAATAATAAGTTCAATAACATGGTAGGACCACACTTTAATACAACTGCGCCTCACCTCCTCATTGTACCGCCTACACTATGTTCCTGGTCAGATACCACAGGACACATTCAGAGTCCATGCCTCGAAGGATCAGCACAAAGGGGACCTACACGTTAGTAGGCAGGTGGCTTTAATGTTGTGACTGATTAGTGTATTTGCCACAAATACAATTAGGTGTAATTCTAAGCCAAACCACAAATCTGATTCTATACCCCCAACCAAAATTAATCTTAATACTGAATGATATATTTACTGTTGTTTTATTGCCTTCCATTAATCTAACCATTAATCTATGTCAATTATTAAAAATAATATCAGGAAGTATTACTTTACTGAGAGGGTAGTGGATACATGGAATAGCCTTTCGGCTGAAGTGGTAGAGGTTAACACAGTGAGGAAGCTTAAGCATGCGTGGGATATGCATAAGGCTATCCTAGATATAAGATAAGGCCAGGGACTAATGAAAGTATTTAGAAAATTGGGAAGACTAGATGAGCCGAATGGTTCTTATCTGCCGTCACATTCTATGTTTCTATGTATAACTTTGCTTTTTATCAGTCTCACTGCAGGGCTGTAGGCAGGTCCATGATGGTCACTAGACCTAGAGAGACAAGAGGATGCAAAATCTAATCTAACACTGGCAGATTTTGAAATCCACTAGCTATGTCTAATTGAGAAATAGGTTTACTACTCATAAAAAGTCAACACTATGCAAACTCTGAAAGACAAAATTAAAAAACTGCTGACTAAATGCTTGTCTCAACCTTTTTTTGTATCACCAGCTGCAAAAGATTTTATCATAATTCCGGTGCACACCACTCCCAAAGATTCAGTTCAAGAAATCGATGAGTTGTACGATGTTTACCTTGACGTTAAAGAGAAATGGGGAACTCAGGTAAATTACCTTATCTAAAGATCTCAAGCCTACACACATTGGCTCAGAAATGGTTCTAAATATTCATTATACTTTAGTTTACATTAAAAAAAATTACACTTAAAGTGAACCTTCCATGACACAGTTTTCTGACTAGTATTTCCTTAGGAAATAAATATCCCATTTATAATTCAATCTAAATCAATTATTGCATTGCTTTACCCTGACATACCCTCCATATTTCTGGATTTGTGCTAATTATGGTAGCTGTGACACCTGCCACCCTCTCCTTCCTACTTGCCCTTAATTGGGAAGCATACTAGCAGTAGGCTAGATAAGCATTATAAGTCAGTCTATACATCTAGGTGTTATGAACGCTGATATAGTAAATACCCTGTTCGCCTATTTTCTCCCGAACTGCTGAGCGTGAGTGATTATGGCTGCAGTTCGGGTGTAGATTTGAACGGTTCCAGACGAATGCAGCATCCAAGTAGTTTCTCCCCAGCAAGTAGACAGTTACCCAAACATGAGTCTAGACTTTATGAAGGGAACAACAGGAATGATTTTATATAACTTGCACATTTTATATATTTAGTGGTTCAAGATCACAACAGGAATAATTAAGCGAGTGTTGGAATATATGTCAGCAGTTCAACAGTGGGAAGCCTGAAAATTAACTGCTTATACAAACGGACAGTAGGGTAGTCTAGTTGAGAGTTAATCTTAAGTGTCAGGTAAACGTTACGGCATGCAAGGTAGAGATACAAATTTATATACTGAGATTTTTGTGGAGTGATAGGGTCATAAGCTTAGCTAAAATATGTAGGTAAGGTACCACCAGGCAGATTGTAGCATACTGGGTTGTCATCAGCTATAGGCATAAAAATAAAACTAATATTCACTATAACATTAACTGTGACAATAACAGCAGAGATGTACATTTAACAGTAAATGCAGCCAAAGTAACTTCTGTTGAGGCTGTCAGTGGTTGACCGGCTACCCGGTCGTTGGGTGGATATGAGCGTGGTGCTTTTCAAGCCACAGTGTCCAAGTGCGGGCTGTGGTTCAGTGGAGTTGGTGTATGGGGATGACCTATCTGGGTACTCCTCCAGTGTTAGTCTCTGGCCTCGGTTGTAGGAAGCGCTGGTAAGGTGTGCTCAGTTGGAGTAGGCACTGAGCCTGCATTAGGGGATAACCGCTGCAGTGTAAGTAGGGATAATAAATGCAGGCTGCCATCAGTCTTTCCTGACTTGGGTCATATTCCAGGAGTGTTTTATGCAAGTGACCATGCAAGGGGCACTCCCACATGGACCTTGTGGGGGACAGCGACACAAAGGTTACAACAAATAATAATACAGTAACAAAGTGTGACACTCCCATTACAAACAGATAATTCCCTCCTCTCCTTTTACAGTTACAGCTACCAAACCAATAAAATGTAAAAAGTCCCGAATGGCATGCTGTTTTCTTCACACTAGGAATCAAATCCACTGATCTCTCACTAGACTGAACTCATAATTCCCCGCTCTCTTACTAAACTGAATACCAGATGCATTAATATAGAGGAAACCAGATATTTTATACCTTCATCTTCAGATTCTGTTTTCTATAGTTACACGACTGATAGCACTTGTTTTGTAATCAATGGGTTTGTGACTCTATTCAATACTATTATTACAGTATCATAAACTGGTTGTTGTATATGTGTACTTGCAGAACATAATACTCTTGGGAGACTTCAATGCTGATGGAGCCTATGTTTCAAACAAGAAAATGAAGACAATAAGACTGAGAACAGATGTTAATTTCCATTGGTTAATTAGCGATGACATCGATACTACGGCCACCAACACTACAGACTGCTCTTATGACAGGTACATTTGAACTTCTCTCTCCTGTCTCTGCTAAAATGTTGCTCATAAAGATCTTGACATATTAGTGCTAGAAATTTGGCTTCTTAAAGTGGTAGTGTGTCTCCACTCTCCATAAACCATGCATGAAATTTCTCTGATTGATGAACTCTGTATCAAACAAATGTAAAAAGTATCATGTTAAAGCAACACATGCATTTTTCTTATTTATTTGGAATGAGGTTCCATATGCTTAGCATGACTGCTTCTTATACAACATTAGTGATAAAGGGCAGAATCTTATGTTATATTGTTTTCTATTTTAGAATTGTTGTTCATAAGGATCTGATAAACGACATTGTCCCAAATTCAGCCAAGCCCTTTAATTTCCAGGTGGAATATAAACTTACAGATGATGAGGTAAGTGAATTCCATATTTACACGCCAACATGTTTGACCACTTTTATATTTAATAATAAAATGACTTTTTATCCTGTGTGGCTGTGGCTTAAAGTGAACCATCAGTAATGATGATCTCAGCCGGGGAAGGAGCAGAAACATCACAGAAACTGGCATGCCAGGGGACCTAAGTAAAAATGATTTTGCTTAATTAAAGGGGGGCTTAGTAATACACTCTAATGTTAATAACATATGTTTGTATTCCTAACGTCAGAGTGTTCCTTTATGAGCTTCTGGAAAAATTGACTGGATCTCTAGATTGTAATCTAGTTCAAGTCTATATCATGTCTTGCTTCTGTTTGCCAAAATGTTTGTCACCTCTGTACACTTTATCAGCCACAACAATGAAACCACTGATAGGTGAAGTGAATAACACTGATTATATCATTACAACCAAAAGTGGTGCAAGAAAGGACAACCAGTGAGCCGGGGTCATGATCATGGGCATCCACAGCTCTTTAATGCATGTGGATGGTCCAATCAAACAGAAGAGCTACAGTACAGTTGCAAGAAAAAGTATGTGAACCCTTTGGAATGATATGGATTTCTGCACAAATTGGTCATAAAATGTGATCTGATCATCATCTAAGTCACAACAATAGACAATCACAGTCTGCTTAAACTAATAACACACAAAGAATGAAATGTTGCCATGTTTTTATTGAACACACCATGTAAACATTCACAGTGCAGGTGGAAAAAGTATGTGAACCCCTAGACTAATGACATCTCCAAGAGCTAATTGGAGTGAGATGTCAGCCAACTGGAGTCCAATCAATGAGATGAGATTGGAGGTGTTGGTTACAGCTGCCCTATAAAAAACACACACCAGTTCTGGGTTTGCTTTTCACAAGAAGCATTGCCTGATGTGAATGATGCCTCGCACAAAAGAGCTCTCAGAAGACCTACGATTAAGAATTGTTGACTTGCATAAAGCTGGAAAGGGTTATAAAAGTATCTCCAAAAGCCTTGCTGTTCATCAGTCCACAGTAAGACAAATTGTCTATAAATGGAGAAAGTTCAGCACTGCTGCTACTCTCCCTAGGAGTGGCCGTCCTGTTAATATGACTGCAAGAGCACAGCGCTGACTGCTCAGTGAGGTGAAGAAGAATCCTAGAGTGTCAGCTAAAGACTTACAAAAGTCACTGGCAAATGCTAACATCCCTGTTAGCGAATCTACAATACGTAAAACACTAAACAAGAATGGATTTCATGGGAGGATACCACAGAGCAAGCCACTGCTGTCCAAACAAAACATTGCTGCACGTTTACAGTTTGCACAAGAGCACCTGGATGTTCCACAGCAGTACTAGCAAAATATTCTGTGGACAGATGAAACCAAAATTGAGTTGTTTGGAAAAAACACACAAAACTATGTGTGGCGAAAAAAAGACACAGCACACTAACATCAAAACCTCATCCCAACTGTGAAGTATGGTGGTGGGGGCATCATGGTTTGGGGCGGCTTTGCTGCGTCATGGCCTGGACGGATTGCTATCATAGAAGGAAAAATGAATTCCCAAGTTTATCAAGACATTTTGCAGGAGAACTTAAGGCCATCTGTCTACCAGCTGAAGCTCAACAGAAGATGGGTGTTGCAACAGGACAATGACCCAAAGCATAGAAGTAAATCAACAACAGAATGGCTTAAACAGAAGAAAATACGCTCAGATCACATTTTATGACCAAAGTGAACTTAGTGGATCGTACTACCACCAAAAGATCACTCAGTGGAGCGCTAAATATCAAATTCTTACCCCTATTGGAATAACGTATATATCACTTTAAGGGGCAGACAGCATAATAAAATCTACAACAAGAAAATACACATCATGGTGCAGTATGCTTGTAAGGTGTGAATGGAGTGGAAGAAGATGTATGTCCAACTCACATGGTAAAGAGCCTGGAGATTGGCTCAAATCACAACAGCTGAGGTATGTTTGGTAATACCAGACCTTCTCCAGATATACAGCTCACAACATATGTGGATAAAAAAGGACAAAAATCCTAGTGCAAGTATGTTTAAAATAAACAAGTGGTCACATATAACAGTGCATGAATGTGCTCACCTGGAATAGAGCCAATTGTACTAGGCTCTATGTATAAGCGTGTGGTGCCTTTAAGGGAGGCACTACCCTTCTTTAGAAAATGCAGGAAGCAGTTGAAGATCCACTACCAGATGTATAAGGTAAAAGTAACAATTTATTAAAAAAAAAACAATTAAGCAAAGTAAAACTGTATATACAGATACCAAAAAGTAAAAGTCTCTGGGGTGGTCTTCCTTGGAGTTCCGAGACGCGTTTTCGCCGTGGGGCTTTCTCAATCGGATGAATCTGCTTCCTGAATGGGCGATGTTTAAATGTTGGCGCCGTCCGTCTGATTGGACGTGCTGATTGCCAGGTAGCCAATCGTAATGCATGGAATGTGGAGATGTGTCTCACAGCTGACGGTCGTGAGTCCGGGAGCTCAAAACCCGGAAGTACCATGAAGTGTAGCCAATCTCACGTGGTTAACTGACGTTGTCATTTGGAGCATGTTCAGTGGTTACTAAGCTGTCCGAGGAGCCATCTTGGTTATGGGCAATAGCTCCATAGTTAGATCCGTTTTTTAAAAGTCCAATATTGCATAAAGAGTCCCATATTAATAGTAATATATAAAATAAAAAGCAAAAAGAACATGGTTATACATAGCAAAATAATAATATTAAGCATATATACATATTGGCATGTTTTGCAAGAAGATGCGGTCCTAAAAGATATTTTACCAAGTCAACCACATATAATATATAGAGGGGCAGCTAACCTGAAAAGGACTTTAGTCCAAAGCAGTGAAGGACCTAAAATTAATGCACATTTTTTAAATCAAAATAAAGGTTTTTATGGGTGTGGGACCTGCTTCGCTTGCAGAACCACTAAAAGTAAAAAAAGATACATAACTAATATTAAGGAACACACGAATAAAGATTTTACTATTAGGGACCAACTAACATGTTTCTCGAAAGGAGTAATCTACATATTAAAATGTCCTTGTAACTTACTTTATATAGCTAGAACTATAAGATGTGTACATACGAGAATTTCAGAACACATACGAAATATTAAGAAAGGACTAGAGACACACAGTGTATCCAACCATTTTAAAACCCACCATAATCAAGATCCCGAGAAGCTTTTTTTCTGCCCATTAAAATTGGTAAAAAGAGATTGGAGGGGAGGAGATTTTAATAAAAAAATTGGAATAGAAGAAATGAGGTGTATATACAACTTTAATACCCTCATACCATATGGGTTAAATTCAGATTTCGAGATGTGTCATTTCTTTTAAAGATCATTAATATGGAATGCCATTGATGTTTTTAACAGTAATATGATATATTCTATTTATTTTTTTACATTATCCTAATATGATATTTGGATTTTATATTGCAGAATATAGGTCTGGGGAATTTGTCACTTTAGATATAATTAATAAAGAATTTCTGATTAATAATCAATAAGTACATTAAGGCACATTAATCACCATCTCACGTTAAGAGCATGATCACCATAGCATGATTATTAATGGTGTAGGGTATCTCACTATATGGATTAGAAAATATATATTTCCATTTACAGTGCATGTATTTTTTACAGGAATTGAATATCATATGTAGGAAAAATATTTTATGTTTTTTAAGAAGGTATATATTATGATATTCTAGTGCCCCACTATGATGTTATGGAACGCAAAGCTAATTCAGCTTTGCGCCCTGATAATATGGAGATGGGCTCTGAGAACGCATCGTAACGAAGTTTGGAACGCACGTTGCGTTCCAGCGACATCATTACCCCAATCCGGAAGTGAAACCGCGAACCCGGAAGCGGAATCGTAAACTACAGCCGCAGTTGGAACGCATGATGCGTTCCAAAGAGAAATCAGCCGGAACCCGGAAGGAAAGACATACAGGGGATAAAAGAACGCTTGACTGCAATGAACATTTATTTATACCGATTGAAAAAGCCCCCGGAGGGGCGAAACGCGTTTCGGTTACCATTGAACTTTATAGCCATTTGGCAGGACTCGCAAATATAGTATATAGCTACATATTTTGTGCTTTCGATTATTTTTTAAACAATGTAATTTTACTATCTTTTTTATATACAATAAAAGTACTTTTTTATTAAGATCCACATTGGATTCTGGACCTCATTCCAATTTGAATAATCAACAGCTCATGTGGAAGTAGGAGTGGGACATCCTTTCGAATAGTCCCAAGGCGATATTCATGGGAGCCATATGAGATTTGGCTCCAGGCTTGTGAGTACCAGACTTCACTTCCTCAACATTTTATTTTACCAGACAATATTACACTATTACGTGCTTTGTTTATCTCTTTCAGACGTATTTTAAGTGTGACCTACCCTCTACATTGTATGTATTTGCTATATACATAAAGGGACTATTGACTCTCATTATATGCTTGCAATCAAAAGGTGCTAAAAAAAATCAAAAAAAAAAAAATCAGATGATTGAAAAAAAGGTGGCACAACACATGTCAGTGAATGAAGTGGATAAGCAGTGCCAACTGATCTAAAAACATACATAAAAGATCCAATTAAAATTTAAGTCTTATCTTAAAAAGTGGCAAAGCTCAAAATCATTATTTAAACCATATGGTTGTAAACTGTTTAAATTAAAGATCCACTTCATTTCCATTTGTCCCATCTTTTTAATGGTATCATCACCTCTCCAATTAAGGTGAACTCTCTGGATTCCCAAAAAAGTCATCTGATTTGGATCACTATTGTGTTTGATTTTAAAATGTAGTGATAGACTATGTTTGGTATATCCATTTCTGACATTGCGTACATGTTCTTGTATCCTAACTTGCAAGGGGCGAGTAGTGCGTCCTATATAGACAAGATTGCAGGTGCATTTAATCATATAAATTACATGTTTGGTGTGACATGTAATGATTTCTTTAATTATAAACTTTTGATCTTTATCATGAGGGTGTTGGAAATTTTTTATATGGCGTTTAGAACTTTTTGTGTTTTTACAAGCACCACAAATTCCACATCCATAAAAACCACTACTTTCATTGAATGGATTTCCTTTAATGTTTTTCTTCAATGAAGAATGGTTTTGAGTCAAATTACATTTTAAATTGGGGACACCCCTATAGACGAGTTTTGGTCTGTCTGGAAGAATTTGTTTTAGAACCTCATCACTTTTTAAAATGGACCAATGTTTATTTAAAATTTTCTTGAGTTGATTACTTTGACAATTAAAATCACTTATAAATGGCACATTATCCCAATTCATATTTGATGGTTTATTTTTGTACTGGATCAATGATTCTCTATCCTGCAGATTGACTTCATGGAGGGCCTTTTTAAGAAGTGAATTGTCATAGCCCTTATCGCTAAAGTCACCAATAATTCTTTGTGCTTGTTCGCAGAACTTTTCATTATCTGTACAGTTCCTCTTAATCCTCATGAGTTGAGATTTTGGGGCATTTAGAAGCCATGGAGAATAATGACAGCTATTTCCTTGGATATAGCTATTTACATCAATTTTCTTAAAAAATGTGCTCGTTTTAATTACATTATTTTCTATATATATATTGAGGTCTAAAAAGCTAACGTTTTCTTTACTATAGGAGCTGGTTAACTTAATGCCCTAATTGTTATTATTTAAATGTCCCAAAAACTGTTGAAGTGATGACTCATTTCCAGCCCAAATGAAAAAAATATCATCGATATAACGGCGATAGGCAACCAGATTCGCACTCCATTCTGGGAATCCAAAAATGTGTATCTGTTCCCACCGAGACATGAACAAATTAGCATAGCTGGGTGCGAATCTGGTGCCCATCGCCGTATTGTAATTTCAATTTGAATTTTGCTGAACGTCAGGCCCTAAAAAGTTTTAGAGAAGACCATACGCTGGTTATTAAACCAGCGGATAAGGGAGGGGGTACTGTTCTTTTGGAGAGAGCAGCGTATTTGGAAGAATCCCTTAGACTATTGGGAGACAAAAGCACATACAAAACTCTATCTAAAGACCCTACAAATGATATTAAGATCACGTATAACCAATTTATTGATAAAGGGAGAATGGAAGGCATTCTTAATACAAAAGAATTCGAATTCCTGAACGTACAATACCCCAAAATACCTATATTCTATTATCTCCCCAAGATACACAAGCAAATAGATAAACCACCTGGTCGTCCTATTATCTCGGGTATTGGCTCTGTATCTAGCAAATTGTCGCAATATATCGACAACTGCTTACAGCCCCTGGTACAGAGCTCCCCGAGCTATTTGAAAGATACGCTTAATATACTTCAGATCCTAAAAAATATTCAATGGAAAAGTGATTATGTTCTGGTTACAGCCGACGTCAGTTCGTTATATACTATTATCTCGCATGACAAAGGCTGTGAAGCAACCAGACATTTTTTAGAAACATTAGATACATTTCCTCCTGCACAAATAGACTTTATTCTGGAAGGGATCTTTTGGATACTGACCAATAATTATTTTTGGTTTAACGACCAATTTTTTTTGCAACTGTGTGGTACGGCGATGGGCACCAGATTCGCACCCAGCTATGCTAATTTGTTCATGTCTCGGTGGGAACAGATACACATTTTTGGATTCCCAGAATGGAGTGCGAATCTGGTTGCCTATCGCAGTTATATCGATGATATTTTTTTCATTTGGGCTGGAAATGAGTCATCACTTCAACAGTTTTTGGGACATTTAAATAATAACAATTGGGGCATTAAGTTAACCAGCTCCTATAGTAAAGAAAACGTTAGCTTTCTAGACCTCAATATATATATAGAAAATAATGTAATTAAAACGAGCACATTTTTTAAGAAAATTGATGTAAATAGCTATATCCAAGGAAATAGCTGTCATTATTCTCCATGGCTTCTAAATGCCCCAAAATCTCAACTCATGAGGATTAAGAGGAACTGTACAGATAATGAAAAGTTCTGCGAACAAGCACAAAGAATTATTGGTGACTTTAGCGATAAGGGCTATGACAATTCACTTCTTAAAAAGGCCCTCCATGAAGTCAATCTGCAGGATAGAGAATCATTGATCCAGTACAAAAATAAACCATCAAATATGAATTGGGATAATGTGCCATTTATAAGTGATTTTAATTGTCAAAGTAATCAACTCAAGAAAATTTTAAATAAACATTGGTCCATTTTAAAAAGCGATGAGGTTCTAAAACAAATTCTTCCAGACAGACCAAAACTCGTCTATAGGGGTGTCCCCAATTTAAAATGTAATTTGACTCAAAACCATTCTTCATTGAAGAAAAACATTAAAGGAAATCCATTCAATGAAAGTAGTGGTTTTTATGGATGTGGAATTTGTGGTGCTTGTAAAAACACAAAAAGTTCTAAACGCCATATAAAAAATTTCCAACACCCTCATGATAAAGATCAAAAGTTTATAATTAAAGAAATCATTACATGTCACACCAAACATGTAATTTATATGATTAAATGCACCTGCAATCTTGTCTATATAGGACGCACTACTCGCCCCTTGCAAGTTAGGATACAAGAACATGTACGCAATGTCAGAAATGGATATACCAAACATAGTCTATCACTACATTTTAAAATCAAACACAATAGTGATCCAAATCAGATGACTTTTTTGGGAATCCAGAGAGTTCACCTTAATTGGAGAGGTGAGGATACCATTAAAAAGATGGGACAAATGGAAATGAAGTGGATCTTTAATTTAAACAGTTTACAACCATATGGTTTAAATAATGATTTTGAGCTTTGCCACTTTTTAAGATAAGACTTAAATTTTAATTGGATCTTTTATGTATGTTTTTAGATCAGTTGGCACTGCTTATCCACTTCATTCACTGACATGTGTTGTGCCACCTTTTTTTCAATCATCTGATTTTTTTTTTTGATTTTTTTTTTAGCACCTTTTGATTGCAAGCATATAATGAGAGTCAATAGTCCCTTTATGTATATATGCTTAATATTATTATTTTGCTATGTATAACCATGTTCTTTTTGCTTTTTATTTTATATATTACTATTAATATGGGACTCTTTATGCAATATTGGACTTTTAAAAAACGGATCTAACTATGGAGCTATTGCCCATAACCAAGATGGCTCCTCGGACAGCTTAGTAACCACTGAACATGCTCCAAATGACAACGTCAGTTAACCACGTGAGATTGGCTACACTTCATGGTACTTCCGGGTTTTGAGCTCCCGGACTCACGACCGTCAGCTGTGAGACACACCTCCACATTCCATGCATTACGATTGGCTACCTGGCAATCAGCACGTCCAATCAGACGGACGGCGCCAACATTTAAACATCGCCCATTCAGGAAGCAGATTCATCCGATTGAGAAAGCCCCACGGCGAAAACGCGTCTCGGAACTCCAAGGAAGACCACCCCAGAGACTTTTACTTTTTGGTATCTGTATATACAGTTTTACTTTGCTTAATTGTTTAATAAATTGTTACTTTTACCTTATACATCTGGTAGTGGATCTTCAACTGCTTCCTGCATTTTCTAAAGAAGGGTAGTGCCTCCCTTAAAGGCACCACACGCTTATACATAGAGCCTAGTACAATTGGCTCTATTCCAGGTGAGCACATTCATGCACTGTTATATGTGACCACTTGTTTATTTTAAACATACTTGCACTAGGATTTTTGTCCTTTTTTATCCACATATGTTGTGAGCTGTATATCTGGAGAAGGTCTGGTATTACCAAACATACCTCAGCTGTTGTGATTTGAGCCAATCTCCAGGCTCTTTACCATGTGAGTTGGACATACATCTTCTTCCACTCCATTCACACCTTACAAGCATACTGCACCATGATGTGTATTTTCTTGTTGTAGATTTTATTATGCTGTCTGCCCCTTAAAGTGATATATACGTTATTCCAATAGGGGTAAGAATTTGATATTTAGCGCTCCACTGAGTGATCTTTTGGTGGTAGTACGATCCACTAAGTTCACTTTTTTCTTTCACATTGTGTTTGTGTAGGATTGGGATACCTGCATGCGTGTTTGAGCTGCTGTTCTATTTATATATTATTGTTAAGCGCCTAATTGCACAGAGCACCTTTTTCTTGTACATTTTATGACCAATTTGTGCAGAAATCCATATCATTCCAAAGGGTTCACATTCTTTTTCTTGCAACTGTAGTTCAAATTGCTTAAAAACTTAATGCTGCCCATGATAGAAAGAACACACTGCATCGCAGTTTAGCTGTAGAACAGTCAGAGTGACCATGATGACCCCTTTCATCTGACAAAAGTGTCATCAAAGGGGACATAGGCATGCGCACGGGGTGTGCCGGGTGTGCCTGGGCACACCCTAATCACGCCTCCGTACTGCACTGCCTTAGAGCAGACTAACATGTTGGGTCCTCGGTCTGTGACCGAGGACCCGACCCAGGAGGGGGCCCGGCGGCTTGCCCACAATGCCGCAGGGTGCGAAGCCCCTCCTGTCAGTCTGCCCTGACGGAGATCCAGCCTTCAGTCTGCAGCTCTGCCGGGAGTGAGCTGCAGACTGAAGTGTCTCGCGATCGCCAGCCTGTCAGAGCTGTTGCCGCGGGTTATCAGGGCAACGCTCAGACTGACTGGAGATCGCAAGACTCCTCATGTGGTCTGCAGCTCACTCCTGACTGAGCTGCAAACTGAAGAGAGAGGGCGCTCACTGGACCACCAAGTCCTGGAAACCTTGGGTCCTGGCATTTATGTGGCTGCTACTTTAACAGTACCACCTATCTAGAGATTGTTGCAGACCATGTACACCCCTTCATGACAATGGTGTTCCCTGATTACAGTGGCCTCTTTCAGCAGGATAACGCACGGTGCCACACTGGAAAAATTGTTCAGGAATCATTTGAGGAACATGGCAAAGAGTTCAAGGTGTTGCTTTGGCCTCCAAATTCCCCAGATCTCAAACCGATTGAGCATTTGTGGGATGTGTTGGAACAACAAATCCGTTCCATGAAGGCCCCATCTTGCAACTTGTAGGACTTAAAAGATCTTGGTGCCAGATACCACAGGATATGTTCAGAGGTCTTCTGGAGTCCATGCCTCGATGCATCAGAGCTGTTTTGGCAGCACGAGTGGAACATACATGATATTAGGAAGGTGGTTTTAATGTTGTGACTATCAGTGTATGTTTTGATAAACATCAATCAATTAGGAAACAATCTTTTAATATGATGAAGATTTAAATAACTCTAACTTAATTAAAACAATTCATCAATTTTAATATAATTTTATTTATTCTATATTTTATCACATAATAAATGATTTCTCATATAAGACAAAACCTGTCGTAGTTAAGACTCAACAAATCATGCAAATTACATTTGCTCTTTATAATAAAAACACATACAGTTCACTCACATCTTTCACCGTGAAGGGACATTGAGTTGCAAATTTTAAAGTAATAGTTAACTGATCTTATTTTATCTGCAGGCCCTGGCAGTTAGTGATCACTACCCCGTTGAGGTGGAGCTAAAGCCAGCGAAAGGAAAAACCTCAAAGAAATAAAATTTTTACATGATCGGGATGTGCTAAAGAAACAAAAGGGGAGAGAAAAAGAACAAACAAAACAAGTGACATTATTTTAATAAAAAATATGCAAATCTTTTTTAACAAATGTTAAGTATTTCTTTGTTGAACAAAAAAAAAGTATAATGCAGAGGAAATACACAAATTTATTTATTTATACATTAATTCATATACTAATTATAAAACAATTATTTATATCAAAACCTATAAAGATTTGAGCATGTAAAAAATACAGCATATTAATGAGGCCAAAACCTTTCAAATGCATTAAAGTTGCATTGATGCCCAGACTGTCCCTTTAAGTGTCATGAAACACTGGAATGGTTACAATTAATCTGACCAGGAGAAAACAAGTATAGGACAAAATTTGACACGATTAAAACAATTATTTAACATCAGAGTTTGGTTCAAGGGTAATCGTGTTACTAATATATTGCTTATTAAACACTTATTGAAGTGTTATCAGCAGAACCGAATTGTAGAGATAACTGCATACAAACCTTGCAGAGGGAAGACCAACAATATATAATTTAACAAAGCCTTAGTGGTGTGTTTTTATCAGAAGAGGTCAGAAAATTCCTAATTAAAAAGGTGTACCTTTCCTAAATTTTAATTTACCTTAAATTATGTTGTATACATCTATTTTTTTAGTGAATTATAGGGCTATCTTTAAAGCCTCAAAGCCTACCTTTCAGACTCACACATGACTGTCTTCATCCCAGAGCGCCACACAAAGCAGTCAACTAGAGTGTACAATTAAAGGGTCAGTCTAAGCATGAAAATGAATAAAGTTTAAAGAAGAGGTTTTGATTCATAGATCATGACTCTAGTCTCTCTGCTCAATACTCTTCTATTTAAGATTAAATGGCTGTTTTTCTGCAGTCCTAGTCACACCTCAAAGATTTGTACAAAAAGTGCAAGAAAAACACAATATGTGTGTACACAAACCAAAAAGTGCAATTAGTGCCAAATAAGATGTAAGCAGACAAAAACTTCTCTGTACAAGGTAAAGCTTTCAATGGTATCCCAAAAGAATTCCTCTTGTCCTCCATGGAATATATGCAAAAAATAGGGGATGATCTGCTGCAGCTAAACCAATAACAAACAAGGAAACATAGTGTATAACTGTGTTTGTGCTCGGAATTTAATATGTAATGGATAGTGTCTGAGATGAAAGTTGGTTGTGGTGTGCCGAAACCAACGTCCGAGTGGGCCTGTAAATAAAAGAGGGCAAAGAGAAGTTCTAAAAAAAACAAAACACTTTATTGCATTTGTTACATAACTAAATTCCTGAAGGCTTGGCGAAGCACTCTTTCTGGTCGTGGAATGTAAGTATTGTATATAGAGGATTTCCAACGACCCAGTCTCTTTATGATGTGGACCGGGGTGTTAGTACTAGAAGCTGATGAAGCGGCTCCTATGCGGAAGGAATGCCCGGAGAACAAAGCTGGGTTGTAACCCAATTTTCCCAATAAGATTCTAACATGCGTGGTGAGTGGGTGCCCTCGTAGTTGTAAGAGCGGAGAGTCTGGTAAGTGCGTGTTATGAGTTGACTGTAGGTGGTCTAGTGCCTTAACTGGACACCAAGCATTATCTGTTGGAAAGAGGGGAATGATAGTGGGGTGTAGTGAATTATTAGTTTTGGTAGATGGTATTCACAAATGACCGCTCACACATTCACTGCAGTAAAAATGCCTTAAGTATAAATTCCTTCCAAGGATTCAGTCTTCAGTCTGTATTCAAATCACCATGGGTTGGCTAGAGTATATGTACCCAAGAGAGAAAAAATAAAATTGTAGTGCACAAACTAGTATTAAATAAAAAAATCAATGTAATCACTTACATCAAGGTTAAAGGACCACTATAGTGCCAGGAAAACATACTCGTTTTCCTGGCACTATAGTGCCCTGAGGGTGCCCCCACCCTCAGGGTCCCCCTCCCGCCCGGCTCTGGAAAGGGGAAAGGGGTTAAAACTTACCTTTTTCCAGCGCTGGGCGAGCCTCTCCCCCCCGTCCCTTCTTCTCGCTGGGAATGCGGTACACTAAAGCTAGCAAGATTGCCGTTCAGCGAAAAGCATTCAAATAAGCTAATAGACTTGGAGGCGCTGGCGTGCTGAAATTGTGAAATCACATGAAGTCGCAGTGGCTGCCAATGAGACAGCCACAGAGGAAATAGGGAAGGCTTAACCCATTCATAAACACAGCAGTTTCTCTGAAACTGCTATGTTTATGAAAAAATGGGTTAACCCTAGCTGGACCTGGCACCCAGACCACTTCATTAAGCTGAAGTGGTCTGGGTGCCTAGAGTGGTCCTTTAAAAACAATGGGTGTAGTATTTCTGAGTCACCACCAGGGGTCCTATGCAATGAGGTTGGTAAGGGGGGTGATGCTGAGGGTCGGTGATGGTGAGGGGGTGATGCTGAGGGTGGTGTGGGGAGGAGAGGCTGAGGGTGCTGGGGTGGTGAGAGAGAACCTACCTTTACTCCCTGGTGGTGCGGTGGCCATTGCTTCCGGTCTGCAGCTCCACACAACATTGCTAGCTCCCTATGGTCCAACATGATGCCCCCGGTCAAGTGTGCCCATATGCTACACAATTCCAAGTTTCTAGTACAAGCTTGGAGATCCTGGAGTTCAATCATGCCTGTCTCTGTCCCTCTCTCTGTCTCTCTCTGCCTGCCTCTGTGTGTCTGTCTCTCTCTCTCTGTCCGTCTGTCTCTCTCTGCCTGCCTCTGTGTGTGTGTGTGTGTGTCTGCCTGCCTCTGTGTGTGTCTGTGTCTGCCTGCCTCTGTGTGTGTCTGTGTCTCTGTCTGCCTGCCTCTGTGTGTGTCTGTGTCTCTCTGCCTGCCTCTGTGTGTGTCTGTGTCTCTCTCTGCCTGCCTCTGTGTGTGTCTGTGTCTCTCTCTGCCTGCCTCTGTGTATGTCTGTGTCTCTCTCTGCCTGCCTCTGTGTATGTCTGTCTCTCTCTGCCTGCCTCTGTGTATGTCTGTCTCTCTCTGCCTGCCACTGTGTGTGTCTGTCTCTCTCTGCCTGCCTCTGTGTGTGTCTGTCTCTCTCTGCCTGCCTGTGTGTGTCTGTCTCTCTCTGCCTGCCTGTGTGTCTGTCTCTCTCTGCCTGCCTGTGTGTGTGTGTCTCTCTCTGCCTGCCTG